GCCTAACTGATGCCAGCAGAGCCCTTCTGGATGGATGTGGGGGTGTGTGAGCCCCTGCTCTTTGAGGTTCATCTCCAGTGAAGCAGCTCTGTGGTGCTGGTCCCATCAGCACCGGGGTGGGAAAAGCGCACATTTGCATTGTGGGGCAGGGAATTCAGGATTGCAGTCCCTGTCCCCAGGAGTTTGGCACATTAAGGGTGCAGAGATGCCATGGGGGGAATCCCAAGGCTGGGAAGGAACCTGGGCTGTGCCCAACACCCAGTGGGACACAGCAGGAGGAATGTTTTATTGTGGGCTTTCCTGTTAGAGCCGCATTCACCTGCCAGAGAGGGGACAATGATTCTGGTCCTCCTTTGCTTCCACAGGCCATTTATCAAACCAAGATGCACCTGTGTGCTCAGAGTAAAATAAGCTTCATGGAGACACACATTGGCACTTCCCAGTTTGAGAGATTCCCTTTTAGGCTGAAATTATTTTGTATTTTATTTCTCTATGTTTCCTTTCCCCTTGTTTAAACCCTGATGTGAAGCTGGAAGGAATGGAGACAAAAAAATCCCCCCAAACCCCTTTAATCCCTGCCATGGAGCCAAGTGGTGTTCACTCACTCCTGAGCTCTTTTTGGAACTTCATTTTGCTTTTGAAAAACTGCCATCAACCTTTCATTAATCAGCAGGTGCATTTCTCTCTGAAAGCATTTCCATCAGATTGGAGCAGAGATTTGGGTTTAATCCCTCTGCCCTGGGGCACAGACTTGACCCTCGTTGCTTTTGAGATGAATGAGAACCCAGTGGGACAGAGAGAAAAAAGGAAATATGATGATTTGTTCATGTATAAAATATCTTTTCTCCATCAACACCTTCCTGGAGAAAAACATGACTTGTTTCCTAGCAAAAAAACCCCAAACAAACCAAAAATAAAACAAAATGCTCAGATCTTTCAGCTTCTGGCCTTTTCCACTTTTCATTCCACAACTGCAGTAATGCTGCTGCTCCTGCATACATAACTCTGATTTTAAAAATTTGTTTGATTTTAATGCCTCTAAAATTCTGCAACAGAATTTCTTTTCTAAACCCTAAACATGGTCATATTCTCATTTCTTGCTGTTTCTGAGAGGGTCACAAAGCAATACAGGTCCCAGCTGAACAGAAATATCTACAGTCTAATGTTAGCATTGAACCTGCTACCTCTAGACCTTGACAATAATTTATTGTTTATATTTTAATTGTTCTATACTTATGAATAAATTTAATGATTCAATCCCTGAAGTATAGAATAGGAGGGGCTTATTCTATCCCTGATGTAAAAGGGAGTAAGCAGCTCTAGAATAAAGAAAAAGGAATTATTTTGAAGGCAAATCCCAGTTTAATGCTGGTGTAATTCAGGAGTCTCTGCAGTGAGCTGATTGGAGCAAGCAGGATCAGAATTTGGCTTTATTTCTATAAAGAGTTTTGGAGCCCAAATCCATGATCCTC